TTTTTTGTCTTTTGTCTTTTTCCGTGTCCGGCAACGGATCGCAACCCTCAGTGTTGCTCCCGCGCCTCGCTCAGCCAGTGAGTGGGAACCGGTCTGCATGTGGGATCCGAACCCTTGGGCGGGAGCGCCGCCGCGCTTCCCAATAAGTGCGCCACCGGGCCGGCCCCTAACTTCATCTTTTAAGTATCAATCAGAAGGTACATTTAAAATGAAAATTTAAAAAGTCAAATTGTGTGACTTTTTTATTTTATCATAAACTGTATGGCAAACTCAAACCAGTCCACTCACTGTCTATTTAAGCCAGAGACTGAAAGCTATTTCTCCTGGAAAAAAGTTTTGTTTGGCCTGCATAGAATCTGACAAAAAAAATTAGTAGAGCTTCCTACTTACACCCAACTCACTTTACTTGTGTATGTTGCCTTTCTAGCCCTGTGAGCATTTGAGTTTGCAATCCTTCATTTAAGCCACAACTGAATTAATGCAGTGGGTGAGAATTCTAGGTTAACCACAATGAACCAACGTAGCTCTAAAAGTCAGAATTCAGACCTCCCTAAGGGGTGTGGAGGTCTTCTGGGTTGCTTGAGGCAGTCTATATTGGCCTAGCCACATTAAATTCTATATGCTAATTCCATATACAACTCCAACATTACATGGAAGGGGGACATACCAAGTTCCAAGTTCTTGGGTGTCTACATGATGGCCCCCAACACACAGCCTGGGGTGTATCTGTGTGTGCTCAACCACTGAATGCTGACTTCCAAAGCAATACCTGAAAGAGGTATGTCTACCAGAGGGCTGCAGGAGACAGGATGAGGGTGTTGATGGTTTCAAGACTCAGATATCAATAAAGCATCATTATATGTTTGGTTAGTACCAAGTGACTAATGTATATTTATTGTCCAAATTTGACCGTGTTTCCCACACTTACTACACCTAAGGTAAAATCAAAACATAATATCGTATTAATTAGAATCAAATTTATAAAAGTTAAGTGGCTTGATAAGTATTAGGCCATTAAAATCTTAGTCAAAAAACTTGCATATGTTTAGACTCAGGTAGGTTTAGTGATGTTGCTTCAATTTTCTTAACATCCTACATTCAGGTAAATGGGGGAAAACACTAAAAATGCTTCAGACTCAGGAAACTAAAGGTTTTAAACAAAAACAAATGCAATATTGCTTTAATAAAAAGTTGTAACCACATCTCTCATCATTTCAATAAACTCTATTTAACTAATACAAAAATGATGTATATGGCTTCTTCCTAATACTGAAAAACTTCCAACTCTTCAAGCTACCAAGCACCAATTCCAGTGCTATCCTCAAATTCTAATACATCTCAGTTAACACTTAAAAATAATAGGCAGAATCATTAATGCGAACAGAACAGCCTGAATTACATGCATATTTATAAGGTCATCCCTTCTTGATTTATTGCACTTCCATGTAGCATTACTATTTGAAATCTTACTATTTCTTTTCATAGCTGAACATGCTTAATCTGAAAACCTGTCTCCTGGATATGGGCACTCTCAGGAGAAACACATTCTATTTTACTGGGTACAACATGGTTTATATGTAATACTTCAGAACAAGATTCCCTGTCATCGTGGTCCCTCAATGTTACCGTCTCACCTCTCTGGGTGCAGGAGCCTGAAAACCACTGTCTATAGCAGCAGGTTACAATGGAGCCCATGGGCGTATGGGTTTTCCAACAGAACAGAATGTGCAATACTGGGTAATAAAGTATCCCATGGGCTCTATAAACACAAGGTCAGAATGTAAAAAGCAACAAGATTACTTTTATATATGCAAAACTCTTAAATAAAACAAAAAGTAAACCCAATCGTACCAGTTATTGGTGGGAATTTTTGTAGTCACAATACTCAACTCCTACTCATTTTAAATTGTTTTGCACGTTACTGACTCAGAATTAGGAAAAAATCAGAAGAATTTCTTTTCAGAAAATTGCTTTCTGAAAAAGCCATCTATTTTTCAATGACATAAATATAAAAAGTGTTTCATTGTACAGCATTATTAGCAACACACTATTCAAACTTAAAATGAGAATATTCACATTTATATAGCAAATTTTATCATCTGCAAATATGTTTTTAGGTATGTTTTAACTATCAAGATTATCTTTAAGTAAGAGACTTCCAAAATTATAGAAACAGTTTGAAGATCCTTGTGTATTAAGCAAAGCATGAACTTAATAAATATACTTTTTGTAAAATATAAATTTTCCTAAATTATGTGCTAAGAAACAAATATTTTGGGATGAATACTAGGTATGATTCTGCAATATTGGCTTCCCCAGTCTTTTAAAACTTGGCCAATACTGGAAAATCAGAAAACCAAATAAAGCAGAGTGGTGCAAAGTCAAATTAAATTTGTAAAACAAACAGCATAAATTCTGAAAAATGTAAGTTACATTCTAGTTATACCCATAATTTTAATAACCAAGCATAAGAGTAACAAAACACGGGATTTATTAGCAAATGAGGACAGACAGAGTGCTTGAATTCATTAAATAATAATGATTTTCATTTTCTAGCCCCAGGTTGGGAATTATACCCACACAATGAAGAGTCATGAGAGCAGAATTTTCTTCTGCCCACCAGTTCAGAGCTCCTAGAAGATGTGTGGGAAAGGGCAAGCAAGGGAAGTTGCAGTCTCCATCCCGCTTGGCCCCATAGCTTTCCCAGCAAAGTTAGCTTACAGCTGTAATAGAATTTGCTGTTACCTGGTATGAATTCAAAAGGGAAAATAATACTTTTTCAAAATGTGACATACCTCATATGATTAATAAGAAATTACCCCCATGACCTGCAAAAAAGCTACAACAAAACATGAATAATGTGACTCTTCATAGTAGGAATACAAATTTATTTGGATTTTAGCAATCGTAAAAGCTGAGTTTGGTGACCAAATAGACCTTTGAGAGGAAAGGGACAAAATCTGAAAGAGCATCAGTAAAATATAAGGTGTGACACACCAGCTCTAAATTGTATGGCTTGATGGTGGAGTGCTTCTTACTTTGTCCGTAAAATACATTTTTTTCTTTTTCCTAATGCATTTTAAAGGGCAGCAAAATAGGATACTATTTGAAATTACATTTCTTTACCCTACACTAAATCTTGGTCAGAAGCAACTAAAAGGGATAAAAACACAAGGAGGATACCAGAGCTCAAGCAGCAACTTAAGACATAGGGAAACTTCTTTAGTCTCTTGTAACTCTGCATAATTATTAGATGAAATTCAAATCAGCAATATAATGTTTCTCAGCATTATATAAGGTCATAAAGTCAACTAGATTGTAAAAATTCATGACTGCAGATTAGTTTATTAGCTGAAGTTAGGAAACAGTAAGGTTCATTAAAAGATAGGCTCAGGAGGCTAATTTATACTTCTTTTAATCTATTAGTTACAATCTTTCTTTAATTGGTGATGAGTTGAATGAAGAATAAGTACATTTTTAATGCGTTCTACAACTCTACTAAAGCATAAGCATTTACTCCATTAAAAAAAATAATAGAAAATGTGCATACACTTAGATAAAAATTATCTGAAAGTATTTAAGCATTAATCAAGTAGAAATAATCAGTAAGAATGGCAACAAAAGATTTTAGTCAAATGTGTTTAAAAAAATACTCACTGATTCTTCGTCTTGAATCATCTGTACTAAGTTGTCCAGTACAGGTGTCAGATTTCTAAAGAGATTTTAAAGATGCGGACAGTGGAATCAAATCAAGAGCTTTCAGGAGGCTGGTTATTTTCATCATTGTCATATAAAAAAATTCAAAACTCTTACTTGGATTTCATATTATTAAAATTTTTGCCTAACGCCAGGTGTTGTATTGATCTGTTTTTACTGAGCCACACTATTAAGGTAGATAGGTCAGATTCTAAACCTGGAAAGAATCAGAATAAGTAGAGAATCAAAACACATGTGTATAAATGAATTCTCAGCTAGAACAGAATTAAGCAAAGGTGACAGGCAGTTGGCTGACTTCCTGTACCACTCTGAGGGCCCCGGGATTCTAATGTTTTATTTTCAAAGGAACTCTTTGCTCTCTTTTCATGCCCTATTATTTCACAGGGATAAACTCATTCTCTACAAAGACTTATCTAAATCTCCTATACAATCAGCTGCTAAACAAAGTCAGCAGAAATTGGGAATAGATGGCAGAAAGTTTCATCTCTCCTATCATTTTGGGAAAGATTCCCACATACTACTCACTGGTAGGTAACTGGAGTTAAATTTGTCTATGTAAATTTAACAGGTTCATACTAACATGCTACTACAGTCACCAGAAATGTAGCTAATAAAATAAGCTTCTATTTTATTATCACCAAGAATGCAAAAGGCTGGGCTCAGGCCTTTATCAATGCATGGATTTTTTTTTTAACTGTAATGTTTTACTGCATAGACATTGTATATTTGACCAAGGAATCAACTTAGTAAGACTTTGGCATAGATTATTCCAGAATTAACTTTATTGTTAAATTAAAAAGCCTTATCAGTCAAGAAATGAAATATTTTTGTTAAGGTATTGTCTAGATTAGCTGGAAGATTATTTCCTATTTACTAACTTGCTTCAAATAATATTTCAGTTTCCTTTCTGATTTCTGACTTACCATTGTCAGAGATGTCTAAACTGGTGATGTTGTGGATTTCAGCAATGCAGCCTTCTAATACTTGAGCACCTCCTGATCTCAGCTAGAGAAACACAAACCAAACACAAGGTAAAGTCTTCGCCTTACTAGTGGTATAACCAAGATATAGTCCTAAAATAAACTTAGTACCAAAGGAAAAGTGAAAGCCTATCAACAAGAAAGCGATTATCAATGTTAAAGAGCAGTCACTAGTCATTGTTGCTATTTCCTATACCATGTGACCCAACATTAAATCCTAAAATCATTAGAAAAAGAAACAGAGAAAGAAGATGGAGACCACCCAGGTCTGCCACTAGCAAGACAGTGGATGTCAAGCCACAAGAACTTTCTTCTAACAAATCCCTTTTACACATAAGAAAGTTACGTTTCATTTGACTTGATTATTGATTTCAAGATATAAACTCTACCCAAGTAACAGCAAAACCACCAAAGACAACAGTGACTTACTTTGAATGTCAACCACTTCAGAAAGGATCCATCCCTAACTGTTGTATAGAAATGGAAGTGAAGTCTCATGACTATAAAGTAGATACTTGATAATTAAAAATGATTACAAAATAATTTGTACAAACTCTTTGAGCCATAGAATAAAAACATGTCGGGTTAATCAAAAATATTATTATAATGGTTGGCTTAAGGCAAAACTATGAGGAAATCATTCTCATCTCATTTCCTAATTTATTTCAAAGGGAAAGACAACCTGAAAAACCCAACACTCTTCACATTTTCCTATGAAACCAAAGCATATTTTACAGGTCACAATGTCTTTTCGTTTTCCATTTGGCAAATATTTGTTGAGGTCCTGCTCTGTGTAAAGATGCAACGGTGCATAAGCTATGGCCCTTTTGTAAGTAAATAAACTTTTGTAAGTAAGTAAACTTACTGTCTAATGAAGGAAAAGAAACTATTATTTATTGGGAACCTACTGTGTACCAAGCAACATGGCAGGTCCTTTATTCATGTAGGAAAATTAAAATTTATATCAATTTTTATACCGAATTTATAATACAAAGTGCTATTTTCTACTTGTTCAAGTTTTCATGTAGGAATTTAAAAAATTCCCATTTCACTATTGCTGATTCAATATTTTTACAGTGCCTTGGACCAAAATCTGCCAAATTCTCTGGCCTCTTTGCAAAGATTTTTGGGATTGCTCTTTCTTCAGGAGTATTTCAGTTGGTGTGTTTAAATTTGGCTGTTCCTACTTTCTAAGGTGACAGCAGATTGCTCCGAGTGAGGTAACTAGGGTGAGCTTGGAAGGGGAGTGTCAGACAGAGGCAGATGTCTCAAAGAGACTGGTCTGCATAGCTCAGGGAAACCAAGACCAATTTCCACAGCTGAAGAGCTTCTAACCCAAATACGCGAGCTGCTGTCAGGAGGGAGTTGTTGGCTCAGGAGCTCTCCAGCCTACCCAAGTACCCTCCCCAGCCCTTCCTCAGCACCGTGCTACTCAAAGTGTGGTCCACAGACAGGCCCATCTGCAAACAGTTTGTTACTGGTCTGAGAAGAATCAGCACAGAAATTTAGTATAAATATTTCAGAAATCTTAGTAGTAACAATTATAGGCTTATTGCATGTATTAATAAAAATTGGATTACATATTTTAATGTCTTTCTAAATCTTTCTAGTAATTTATTCTTATATTCTATAAGGGTGTTGGTTTTAATAGATTGGAAATTACAAAGAAACCAAAAAAAAAAGGGTTTTCATCAAATATAGTTTTGAGAAGCACACTGTTTCAGCTCACAATTTATTAGTACTTGAAGAAGTAAATGTATATGTAGACTACATCAAGGTAAAGCAAAAACTCATTTGAGCAAACACTTCAAAGAAACATAATTTGATTTTCAGAGCATGAAAAAAGATAAACATAAGTGCATAAGTCTTTACAATGTCATATTTGCTAATAGTGATTTCTCTGTTGAGAAATAAAATTTCTGCAAGAAAATCTCTATGTCCTATTACTGTACAGTAAAAATAGTCCATTTATAGAAGTAAAAAATACAAGTAACATTTAAGTTCAACATTTAAGTGTTCAATTTGGCTTATATTATGAACTCTTTACTGATAATATTTGTAATATATAAACATAAATCATTTTTCAATGCTTAAAAAAAATTAAATATATCCTAATTTATTGATTCATAAAGTACTTACACAATGGCCAAGCTAAGGAAAGCCCAAGGAGAAAAAAGCAAAAGTTGTCGTCAGCCGTAAGTAGAACAAGAATAAAGAAGCTGAAATCTATCAGCACATAATGTAGAAAAGCAAAGTCAAAAAAAATACTTCTAACCAAAATTTTGTCCCAAAACAAAAATAAAAAGTTTAAATAAGAAAATAACTGATCTTCAGTTACCAAGAACATTCAATTGAATTCACAGGTTATTAGATGCCTAAAATTCCCAAAAAGATAAAGCTTTCCCAAAACAGTAAAAGCTTTTCCATTACTATAAATGAAAATCCTTTTAAATGAATTTACATAATTAGAGGCTATGTCTGCATGTGTGCGTGTAAAACTGGTTTTTAAATTACACTCATTTGGATCCCACACACTAGCATTATTTAAAAGGAAGCAAGATCAAAGAGAAGTGAATGTGACTGAACCACTGAACACTTTTTGAAATGTTAAAAATAAAATCACATTTCTTTCAAGGGAGTTGTTTTCTCTCACTCAAGGAAGGTGGAACGTTTCAGATGTTACTCATAGTTCTAAGTGAAAAGTTATAGCTAATCCTCAAGTATCTATAATGGGGACAAGGGAAGCAAAGAAAACTAAAATCCAGAGAGAACTTTTAATAATTTATTTTCCTTCCTCAAGATCATTTAAATGCCATTTAAAAGGATGAGGCAAAAAGAATGAAATCAAGGCTGGCCATTAACTCAGTTAGCACAAGGTGTTCTAACACCAAGATGAAGGGTTCAGATCCCCATAACGGCCAGCTGCCTATCCCCCCCAAAAAATATTAAAAAGAAAAATGAAATTAAAAATAAAATAACACCCAAATTATCTACTTTTCTTCTAAAAGGAGTTCCAATTTTAATCTTTAAAAATTAATTTTTATCCTGGAAAATTTTCACACATAAAACTGAATAGTGTAGGTTTCTCCAAGGACAGAACAATTAGATGACATCCAGTTCAAAATGTCCAACTGTAGGGTTTGATGCCAAATGGTAATCTAGCACCTAAAAAAGACATAGGTAAATACAGCCATTTTCATAGGGCAAATAGTTGCTTCACATGTAAATCCTGACATAAACCATGCGCAGTTGTGCATTCCGTACCTGGCCTGATAGGAAAGTAACAGGTGAGAGGTACAACAACAATCCTCACCTCAAGGCTGGTTGAATGACCATCAAATTGAATGGAATTGCCTTCATAGCTTCTATTCACTTGCTGCAATGTCCTGCTCATTTCAAGTTTTAATATTTGGTGTTCTTTTTTCTACTCATCATCAAAAGTAATGAATCATGGAATAATCTACAGAAATGTTTCCCCTTAAAGGAACTAACTCCCATAGCCACACCTGCAACTAATCCTCAGCTGTAGTTAGCCTTTGCATCTTCTCTGAAGTATCAGAGATTTTTCTCTCTCATTTGGAAGGAGACTAAGCTTGAAGAATTAAGTTCCAGCATTTATCAATTCTTCTCTCGAGGTATGACTATGAAGTAATAAGATTTTCTAAAACAGACCAGAATGCATAGATCCATTGCTTCTTTCCAGGTAGATGAGCACATGGGAGAATACATGTGACTGCCAACCAACATCACTATGAGCATGTAAAACAGTTTTGAAACTCCTTTTTTGGAACTAACCTTGAGGACAATGGAACACACATTCCTTTGAACACCTGTAATGATGCTTAATCCTTACCCTTCGAGAGGGAATTAGGATCTGACACAGGCCATGCAGAGGCAAATTTGGCCATGGAGGGTAATATTGTTTTGTCAAAAATCAGGTGTGACTATAAGTTGATGAGACTAATTCTTCTTGAGAGATATCAAATAGCATTGAAGGCAATTCCAAAACAAGTTTTGGTCAAGATAGAATATTTACAAAGCTTCTAAATAAAAATTTGTAGAAAGGCAATACAGACCTATGCTGCAAATGCTGACACTGAAAATAAAGCTGCTCCACAGTAGCCCCCTTTTTCCCCAGATAATGGCTCACACATGCTGGGCCTGGCCTTGTGGCACTGTGCCAAATGCTATTCCCCAAAACTGTTATCATACCCATGGCCAGGTGAGAAACAGGCTGCAAGAAGGTAAGTCACTTGAAAAGCCATGTAATTGAGCCAGGTTTCAAAGGGGCCTTTTTGATTCAAAAGTGCCCACCCTTTGCTGTGATACTCTTTTGCCTCCCATAAATACTTTGAGTCATTTTCTTATACGAAGTAGATTCAGAACTGAAAGACCAAGGGAAAGAAAATGAAGTGATAACATAATCAATGTGAAACACCTTAAGGGACAGAGATGTTTTCTGTGTAAGTATAGAAGTTATATTTACATTCTATAAATGCAACATAAATTTCAGTATTTACCACCTTGTCCTTCACAGATCCAAAAGAATACAGACCAAATTTTGGAATTTAATTCCCTAAATAACAACAACAACAATGTTTGTATTGTAGGAAAGCAACTCCATAATTTATAAATAACTGCATGGTCCTTTTTTTTTTTTTTTTTAAACAGCATAAAGTGTAAATCTCCTCTCTCATTCAAATTAATGAGTGTGAAATGCCTCTTTCAGAGGAATACAGAAATACTCCGAGAACTACCAGCCAGCTCACCAGGAAAGGTGAGAACAAACAGTAATGGAACCAGCATATGGTAAAAACAAAAATAATTTGCTCAGCTAAATTTATTCCACACTCCCCTATCTAGGCCCTTCAATCTCTCCTTTCAAGGTTACTTTCCTCTCTCCTCCCCATAAACTCAACTACCATCTTAGATGGTGGTCTTTGTGCCTTCTATGACACCCCTACAAACCTGATTTTTTTCCTTACTGAGAAATGAAGTAAATCTGGATCCAAAATTCTATATAGAGGCTTTATATTAAAGTTAATTATTTCTTTATAAATATAAAAAGACTTCAAGGTATTTCACAATCGTTCTTTTTCATGGGTTGGGTAGACTGTGTTATTAGGGGCACCTGTAAGAGGCACCAAACTCTGAAGGTGCCCACATCAAAAACTGCAGGACAACAGCTTTCCAACACTGTTCAGCACTGTGCTGCTGACATCTGACTCATCCCAGGTCTGTCAGCCCTCATCGTGAGTCAGTCATC